CGAGTCGTGGTTCGCGTTTACAATGCAAGTGTTTATCAACAATCCCCGAGCAGCAGCTAATGCACTTCACTGATTAAACAGCCTTTAGAACAATACTGCCTGCGCTGGGACGGAGGCGTTTGTCCACTCACTGAAATGATTCGATATGCGTTGAAAGGAAGTCCCGGCAACATGTGGCTACCAGATAATGCTGTTCGGGTCGCCCCGCTCTGAAATGTTGTGTCATACAGGCGGCGAGACGTCTTAGCTTATCCTTTCATTTAAACAGCGACCTTATATTAATAAGCGACTTTATCATCCAAAACTGGCTCCCACAGGAGATATCGCTTGGATGAGATCAAGCGATATCTACACTGTAGATATCGCTGCAATGAATTTACATCACAATGCTTTGCAGACCATTGTGACGTCACTGGTTACCATGACGTCACAATCAAATGACATCACTAATGGCTCTGCTACTGAAGCCGTTTTCAGTACTTTTTACACTGAAGGCACTGCTAATTACTGTCTACAAATTGAAAAAGTTGAAAGAATGATGTTGGATGATAAATAAAATCTCACCCTCGTGTCTTTTGATATCAAATATATCAACACTCGTTGATAAAAGTGGCAAAAATCCTCGGCAAGCCTCAGAATTTTTCCACTTTTATCAACTCGTGTTGATATATTTGATATCAAAAGACATTCGGGTGAGATTCTCTATGTGTCAGAACAAATTCGACAGCAACGATAATACGACGATAACATTTGACTGATAAGAATCAAAGGGTTAAGAAAAGGATAAAACCTTCTTTGAGATAAGAGAATGGAGATACAAGAATGGAGATAAATCGCTTGTGTTATGTATGTAACGTAGATAACTATCCAAATGTTTTGTATTTTGGTTTGTTGTTTAACGCCGCACTCAGCAATATTCCAGCTATATGACGGCGGTCTGTAAATAATCGAGTCTGGACCAGACAGTCCTGTGATTGACATCACGAGCATCGATCTATGCAATTGGGATACGATGACATGCATCAACCAAGTCAGCGAGCCTGACCACTCTATCTCGTTAGTGGCCTCTTACGACAAGCATGGGTTGCTGAAGACCTGTTCTACCCCGGATCTTCATGGGTCTGTCTAAACGTATACACATTGCTCTTAACGCGACATTATGTTTCTAGGTTTGTCAGCACCATGGCAGTGCTCGTGGGTTTCACCGAAGTGGTAAACGTCTGAGACCTGCATAACTTCGGGCTTTTCCCCTACATCAAGCTGAAACGCCGTGATATTACTGGAATACTGTTAAAAGCGGCGTTAAACCTAACTCACTCACTCACTCATTCACTCACTTAACGCCACAATATGTTGATGTTAAACTGACCGAGTTTGTTTTTATGCAATTGAAAATTGAAAAAATGGTTGTTAAATTTGAGGATTCGATGTATCGTTTCTGGGTTGTTCGAACCAAGTATCGATATATTTATCTATCTTCTTGAGTCTTTTATTATATAATAGACGTTACTAAGTTGAGTTTGTCCTACATATGAAGTTCTGGACATCCCGCTGCACGTCGTGGAATAAGTACAATAGCAACGCGACATTAAAACTAATTTCACCTCACTTAAAAACATTACAACACAAGATGCGCGTATGTGCCAAATGTTTGTTTGCATTCAGTAATATTCCAGCTATTTGTAAATAATCGAGTCTCGACCAGACAATCAAGTGATTGATATTATGAGCATCGATTTATGCAATTGGGATACGATGACATACATCAACCAAGTCAGCGAGCCTGACCACCCGATCCCGGTAGTCGCCTCTTACGACAAGCATAGTCGCCTGTTAAGGCAAGCATGGATTGCTGAAGACCTATTCTACCCCGGATCTTCATGGGGCTCTTCCAAATGAAGACACACGTGTATTTCATAAATTCTGTTTAGTACACGTGTGGTGGACGGTGTGAAACATTGTGAGAAGATGTGTATACCTACACATGAATGTCATATAAAATTGTCTCTCTACACGTGACTGTACATGTCACACATTATATTCATCTGCACGTGACTTTACATGTCACACATCATGTCCACCTACACGTGATTGTCACACATTATATCCACCTACACGTGACTGTACATGTCACACATTATATCCACCTACACGTGATTGTCACAAATTTTACCCACCTACACGTGACTGTACATCTCACACAATATATCCACCCACACGTGATTGTCACAAATTTTATCCACCTACACGTGACTGTACATCTCACATATTTTATCCACCTACACGTGACTGTACATGTCACACATCATATCCACCTACACGTGTTACATATGTGTTATTCCCCTACACGTGACTGTCACACATTTTACAGTGAAACCTCCTTGCACCTATATAATCCTGAAGCTCAGGTATCCGTTTAAATCACATAAGTACTGACGGTTTCATATATATATTTGATTTTACAACCAACAAAAATAAATTGCTTTCTGGATGAACTGAAAAATATATGTCATGAACAGGCATTAAAATGTTAGGCAGAATTGTTTTTCGCGTTGTTCTAAGAGGTGACCGACAAAATTGCCTGTGTCTTCAAAAGAACTTACCAGGCCCCAAATCACCATCACCATCACCCCTCCATAAATGTCGTAAAGGACGGCTGCATGTACGCAAAGTACATTTTTCTTTGACAATAAAACGTTAATCACTGCAAGACAGGTGATAATTCCTACCAATTCAGTGAGAACGTCAAAGGCCGGATAAACGAGGCTTACACGAGAGGGGCTCAACGTACGTCACACAATGAATGAGGTGCTCGTTTGCGGAAGCAACATGAGTCCTATATGACCTCCTCTGTCCCAATGATTGAAGTACGAGATGTGCAGGCTTGTTTGTGTTGGTGTCATGAACGTCCGGTCACGTCATGACATTTTATAAACACTGAAGAGAAGCGCTCTTCACATCATGGCCATCAACCTCTGCACCGGTGGAATCATTTTGGAGCAGTCACGACCAGGTCGTAGATGGTGGTGCGTTGTTAGAATAGTTCATTAACAGAGTTTTAGGTTTAAAATGGGGGCACGGGTGGCCCAGACGTCAAAGGCGCCGCGATTCGCTGTGCAGAGTTGCGTCCCTTGGGCAAGCCAGAATCCTATGACTGAGGGTTCGAGTCCCGGTTCGCCCCGATTATGTTTCTAGGTTTGTCAGTACCATACCCGTGCCCGTGGGTTTCACCGAAGTGGTAAACGTCTGAGAACTGCATCACTTCGGGCTTTTCTTCCACATTAAGCTGACACGCCGTGATATAACTGGAATACTGTTAAAAGCGGCGTTAATCCCAACTCACTCACCCACTCAGCTAGGTTTAACATGTTGGACATCTTGTTACGCATATGGCAGTTGACTTGTTTGTTTTCTCGGCATGCTTGTACTATAACTGTTTATGATAATGAATTATTGGCTGGATGCATGAAATATCGAAATATGACTGAGTTGTTTTGTGGTCAGTTTTAATGGAACCAGTGTAAAGGTGAGTGAGTGAGTGAGTGAGTTGGGTTTAACGCCGCTTTGAATATTCCAGTTAGCTTAATGTGGGAGGAAGTATGAGCCCGAAGTGATGCAGGTCTCAGACGTTTACCACTTCGGTGAAACCCACGAGCACGGGTATGGTGCTGACAAACCTAGAAACATAATCGGGGCGAACTGGGATTCGAATCTACCATAATGTGTCTGGCGTGCCCAAGGGACGCAACTCTGCACAGCGAATTGCGGCACCTTAGTCTACGGGACCCGTACCCTATCGGTGAAAAAACTTTCAACGAGATAACATATAAATGTCAGCTTGCAAGGAAGAAAAACATGGTACTGTTAAAATTATAAATATATAGGCCGCCTCCGCAATGTAGTGGTAGAGCATCCGCCCGGAGAGCGGAAGGTGCTGGTCGATCCTGGTCGTGTCACACCAAAAGACGTTAAAAGATGGTACTTGTTGTTACCCTGTCTGACGCTCGTCATTAAGGGGCTAAAACAAGGACTGGTCGGCTCGGAGTCAGTATACTGTGTCTGAGTGTGGTATCCATGTTAAACTGCGGCATGGTATCTTGGGCTAGACTCAAGCACTATAAAATCGACATTAGTCTAGACCAGTGCAATTTTAAGCGGCAACACACACACACACACACACACACACATACACGTCGGTATAAATAAGGAGACACAAGTCTATTGATATTTACGTAGGATTGTGTTCCCAGAAGTAGAAATCTATATATTCTGTCTCATAATTCACTACTGACGTCTAAAATGTCTAGATATATCTGAGACCTTATTAAGTATTTGAAACCGCCTCCGTGGTCTAGTGGTAGAGCGTCCGCCCGGAGAGCGGAAGGTCTGGGGTTCGATCCCCGGACGCGTCATACAAAAAAACGTTAAAAGATGGTACTTGTTGTTACCCTGTCTGACGCTCGGCATTAAGGGGCTAAAACAAGGACTGGTCGGCTCGGAGTCAGTATACTGTGTCTGAGTGGGGTATTCATGTTAAACTGCGGCATGGTATCTCAGTGAGCTAGCACTATAAATCGGCATCAGTCCGGACTAGTACAAGCAGCCACACACACACACACACACACACACACACACACACACACACACACGTGCATGCTCGTTGCTATATAAATGCAATAATCATGGACGCGACGTTAAACCCAATTTCACCTCACCTATTAAGTATTTGAGTATAAAAAAAAACGTCAGTATACATTACAGACAAAAGAATTAATTGAAAGTTTGATATATATATATTAAATATTACCGGTCAGACACGTGTCCACTGTTTTCAACCGACATATTGGTCGATATACATTCATGCATTTCCAAAGCCGTACCTATATTCACGAGACGCCATTGTCAATACGTCAAGTGCTATTAACACGAAGTAAGTATATTTGCAGCTCAAATATACAAATGTTTGTGTATCCATGTAAGTATACAATAAATCACCTTACCTGATATCTGTCACCCCTGCTGTTCTAAGTAACTCTGGGTGCCTCACGCCGCTTAGGGGGTTGTCACTGACTGAGGCATCGTTCTGGTCGCTACTCCGTAGCGCTGTCAGGAGTTGTGGCGCATCTCGCATACAGATATCTACAAGCAGAGATACGAGCTCCACAGCAGTGCGCATGAACTGAATGTTTATCATGTATATGGAGAAGCCTGGAAGCGCTTGTTATTTATCGCACATTGTTTTCTGCACCCGACGTGAAGAAGTGTGCACCATCTTGTTCCCATGTGTTGTTGAGTGTAGGGACTATATCGCGCTGACTTATGACGTACACGTTTATGGGTTGCGTAGACTGAACATTCAGGCCTACAATACCCTAAAATGTGATTACGTATTGACAAATATAATATTGTCACCATGTTTGAGTTTTATTGGGTTTTTTAATGCATTGACGTTACTTGTTGATGCAGTACAGTAGATGTCTAGTTGTATGTCTTTATCAGTTCCGTTGGGATATATTGCAGACGTGGGTCACCATTTCCACTTGTTTTGTCATAAACAGATGCAGATTAAAATACAGCTATGACGTCACTGTATTGTTTCAGCGTGGATTGTTTGAAATGAATTTTACATTTTACTGACCTACTTTCTGCAATGTACATTTTAAGCTCATGCATTAATTCTAAGAAACAATAACGTTGAAATCACAGACAAATGCACGTGCAGCACGAATGTGGGTTGCACAAATGCACCACAATATCGGAACACGTAGTTAAAGATTCGCATGCATTGCGAATGTACTGCGTGAGATTTAAGTGCAGCAGAATTGTGTTGCATTTATTTTTTATTTATTTAACGATTTATTTTGACTTTTTCGGGCTGTATTTCAAATTTGATTACGCAGTATTTAGTTATTTTGATGCTGCATTTTAAGTCAGATAGTGAGTGAGTGAGTGAGTTGGGTTTAACGCCGCTTTTAACATAATTCCAGTTATATCGCGGCGTGTCAGCCCGAAGTGATGCAGGTCTCAAACGTTTACCACATCGGTGAAACCCACGACCACGGGTATGGTGCTGACAAACCTAGAAACATAATCGAGGCGAACCGGGATTCGAACCCACAATCATAGGTTTCTGGCGTGCCCAAGGGACGCAACTCTGCACACAGGCGTAACTGGGCATTCGTTGCAATTGATACTCTCCTACTTCGCTGGGCCGTCCATTATTCGTAACGCCTGGTGTTTTCTTTAACATATATTACTTACGATATGCTATCATCCACTGTTTGTCCGGTCTAGACAACTGTAGATGCATCTCCTCATAGTTAAAACATTGTTATCTCGCAAGATAAACGTTATCTCAAAATATCTCCAAACACATCCAGCCATCCATTACTTACTGATATTCTAATGTTCCTCAGGAGTGTAGATCTGTGAACGGAACTTATATCCTTTTATGTACCAAGACGAAACACGACCTATACTTACTACTACTACTTCTACCATTATTATTATGATTATTATGATTATTATTAGTAGTTGTAGTGGTAGTAGTAGTAGTAGTAGTAGCAGCAGTGGTAGTAGTAGTAGTAGTAGTAGTAGTAGTAGTAGTAGTAGCAGTGGTAGTAGTAGTAGTAGTAGTGAGTGAGTGAGTGAGTAAGTATGGTTTTACTCCACTTTTAGCAATATTCCAGCAATATCACGGCGGTAGTAGAAGTAGTAGTAGTAGTAGTAGTAGTTACACTGCTGCAACTACTACTACTAATATTATTACCACAGTACTACTGCTACTACTAATAATGCTAACACTGCTACTTCTACTACTGCTACTACTACTACTACTACTACTACTACTACCACCGCTGCTACTGCTATTACTACTACTACCACTACTACTTATAATAATACAATTAACACTGCTACTACTACTACTACTACTACTACTACTACTACCACCGCTGCTATTACCACTACTACCACTACTACTTATAATAATACAATTAACACTGCTGCTTATAGTTAGGTTACTACTACTACAACTACTGCTAATACTGCCGCTACTGCTACTATTTTTACCACGACTACAACTATCATACCTACTACAACAACTACTTCTACTCCAACCGCTAATCCTACGATTACTTTTTCAGGTACTACTCCATCTTCTGCTGCTGCTACTACTACTATTAATACTACTACTACGACTACTACGACTACTACGACTACTACTTCTACTAGACCCGCGAAGATCCGGGGTAGAATAGGTCTTCAGCAACCAATGCTTGCCGTAAAAGGCGACTATGCTTGTCGTTAAAGGCGACTAACGGGATCGGGTAGTCAGGCTCGCTGACTTGGTTGATGCATGTCATCGATCCCAATTGCTTAGATCGATGCGCATGATATCAATCACTGGATTGTCTGGTCCAGACTCGATTATTTACAGACCACCGTCATATAGCTACAATATTGCTGAATGTGGCGTTAAACAACAAACAAACAAACAAAACAAACTACTACAACAACTCCTACAACCACTACTTCCACTGCGACAATGTCCAACTGAAGACATAATATCCGTCTTTGTTCCAACCCAGCCACACCCACGTCCATGTCTACACACGAAACACATGTGTTAGTACAGTAAAGAGGATGTTTAGGGAAATAAATACCTTAGCTTAAACAGAGTCAGCCTGACATTTAGCGGTTCCAGATTTCGCCGGCAGTACACATCGGCAGGCCTGCAGAATCGGACTAGCGCAGAGAGCGCGATGGCGAGTTTCCTCCATCACGTGTTTGACCCACATGATAACCCACGAGTGATAAGGATATTCCCAACTTATCTATTCTCTATATCCAGTCGCCATCCTCCTTCACACTGATAGCTTATTCGCTGCTCGGGCCCCATTGTAACCAGACCTCGCCCTTATCGAGCATTATGTCATTTGCGTCGAACTGTGATACGTTGAATACCGACAGGCGATATACCGACATATTCCAGCGTATGTAAACCGGTTTGCGTAAAAATAAACATCCTTTTTAATACTTGATTGGCGTTTTTCATATATGGTACATACTTTTATTGGGTTGTATATATGCCAGGTGAAATGTTACGCAAGTTTTAAAAGTTGAGTCACATTTCGGATTTTATTCCTAGGACCTATATTCAAGGATAGGTATTTTTGCGATTTCTTGAAATAGTTGTCAGATTTCGACAGCTTAATATAAGAATGAAATAACAAATTAAATTGATTTTGGGGGGAAACACGCTAAAGGGTTTGGTGGGTTTATTTTTTTTAGGATATCGATGATAATTTTAACTAGTTAACGGTGTCAACGGGCAAAAAATGAGATGCTTTTTTCAAGCTTTATCTAAAATTGATAGGGTTTGTGGATTCGAGTAAAAGTCGTAGTAACAGCAGTAACGCCGAAGAATAATATTAATTCAATATCGTAGCATCGATTTGATAATACCCGTCGTGTATGGTCAAAAACGTCCAATATCCTGCGAGGTTAAATTAGGCTCATAGCCTCTTGCAAAAAGCTAATCATTGGAATTGAAAAAAACAAGGAAAGATGCACTATAAAATGCACGCTTTAAAATAAAAAAATCAGTGTAATTCCTTCAGCTCGAACACCACAAGCTCTGGCCTAAGGTTACAGTTTAATTTCATGCATTGTACATAATAATATTTAACATAGCACGTTAATAGTTAATCTGTTTTCCTGAGCGGTATTTATGAATGCAATGTGTGGTTTGTTTATCAATACGGATTTCACTGATGAAATAAAAATATATTTAAACCAATATCCGAGTACTGTATTTGTGTTGTTTTTACTTTGATCTTTTACAAAACAAAACTCACTCAATCGAGCGTTAGCGACACATTAGAGACTAAACGCGCTGATATGTAGACTGACCGTACACCCCTTATCGCTCTAGTGTCAAAAGGGGGGCACGGCTGGCCCAGTCGTCTAAGCCGCCGCGGTTCGCTGTGCAGAGTTGCGTCCCTTGGGCACGCCAGAAACCTATGATTGTCGGTTCGAATCCCGGTTCGCCTCGATTATGTTTCTAGGTTTGTCAGCACCATACCCGTGCTCATGGGTTCCACCGAAGTGGTAAACGTCTGAGACCTGAATCACTTCGGGCTTTCCTCCCACATTAAGCTGACACGCCGCGATATAACTGGAATTATGTTAAAAGCGGCGTTGAACCCAACTCACTCACTTCACTGGGCGCCGCCATTTTTGTTTAAAGCAAATGCTTTGACCCTATACGGAGCTTCGGTGTAACCCACGAGCGCTCACAAATTCGAACTGACGTTCAGCGAAGCCCAACACGTCCAAACGACATACATCGAAGACGTCATTGCTCTCTAAATGACGTCTTAAGTGCAATAACGTAATAATTAGAAACCGCGAAATGCGCTTACATACACCGAGACCGCCTCCGTGGTCTAGTGGATATTCCGGAGGAAGGACTCGATGAATCGATCCCCCGTCGCGTCATATCAAATTACGTTACAAGATGAGTCTTTTTCGTACCCTCGGTACGCTCGGCATAAAGAGGCTAATACAAGCACTGGTCGGCTTGTTTCAGTATACTGTGTCTGTGTGAGGTATATATTTTAAATTGCGCCATTGTATCATCGTGTGGTAGCTACCACTTTTAAACCGGTTTAAGTCCAAAGTAGTTCAAGCACACACACACACACACACACACACACACACACAGACACGCACGCACGCACGCACGCACGCACGCACGCACGCACACACACACACGCACGCACACACACACACACGTGGATGCACGTCGGTATATAAGTGCAATAATCTTGAACGTGACGTTAAGCCCCATTTCACCTCACCTTTAAATATGGAGACACAAGTCTTTTGATATTAACGATTGTATCGTGTTCCCTGAAGAAGAAATCTATATATTTTGTCTCTTAACTCACTACCAACCTCTAACATGTCTACATATATCCGAGACACGCACGTGTCGAGCCTGGACCAGAAAATCCACTGATTACCATCATGAATATTTGTGTTATGTTCGGTATGGTATTCTACACATTCACGTGTGGCACGTACAAGCATATCAGGACTGTGCGCATAATAGACCCGTGATCACAGACAAGTTTTGTTTGTTTGTTTGTTTCCTTGTTGTTTAAAACCGCATTCAACAATATCCCAGCTATATGACGTCGGTCTGTAAATAATCGAGTCTGGACCAGACAATCCAGTGATTGATATCATGAACATCGACCCACGCAATTGGGATA